TATATATATGTATATGTATACACGCACACTCACACGCTCGCTAATAAAAAGTACTTTGCGCGAGTAGCACCGAGATTTTCAAAGTATCCTAAACACACGACTCACTTTGAGAGATTTTAGGCTGCATCGTTGGTAGCTAGTAGGTACGATATACTGCGATCATACAAATAGGAGAAAGGAACGAGTGTCGTGGCTTGCGAGTACAGCTGTTTGTTGAAAACTGTCGATGAATTTTGAAAGCAATGTTTCTTCGAAAGCTTATCTATAATTAAATAGCGTGTGTATGTACATATACATACATATATACATACGTGCTCGTGCTTGGAAAGTGATAAGGATACGTTGGCTTAATTGCTTTAGGTTTGTATGTGTCACGTGCGACGACGAAATGTTGTAGAGGTAAATAACTGTACGTATTACTTTTTGAAAATTTTTTTTATAATTAAGTATTATGTTTTGTGATTCAACGATTTCCATTTCGTGTCCACTATAATGTACACAACATTCAATGTTAGAACAGCTAATTATTGTGCTTTTGTGTAAAAACGTTCAAGACTTGAATAGCTTTGAACAACGAGTAAATGATGAATTTTATGAACAAAGATAACCAATTTTTTTTTTTCAAAGATCAATAAAATTAGTTTACAGAAAAAAATAAATAAAAATAAAGTAATAGACATCTGTTGCAAGCTCGGCTCGCCTCTGGGTGGTTTTTGATCATTATCGGCTTATTTTTATCATTTTTCAATACGCGAATGCAACAAGGACAAGCACAAAATGATGATGGATGGGTGTTGGTGTTACATGCAAAACATGACTTACCGTCTAACTTGGATGCACCTCTCGCGGTAATATCCTCCGTGAGATAAGTAATGAAAACAAAACTTAACTAATGGTACGGTGGTGTCCGAAACTTAGGATAACTCAACTCAATAAACTAAAATAAAAATCGTGTACATACTGCAGTGACATGAAAAATCATAATGATGAATATAATGAAACAAAATTAAATTTAATTGTGACTAAATAGATAAAAGAAATGAAAATGTGGCAGTTTGTCGTGTAAATTAAGTTCATTAGGATTTTAAAAAAAGAGTAGCAAGAACTGTTTTACTTGACTTTGGTTTTTAAAACATTTCCCGTAACTTTTTATAGTTAATTTCTCGTACTATACCCAGATTGTGTTTAATTAAATTTTCATAGTTATACGCATAAAAAACACTTGTCATTACGTTAGGTTGAGGAAAATTTTTTTCAACTCGTTTTCAAATGAGTATAACTTAAAACGCTGTTATAATTATTATTCTGATGTACGCCTGTGTTTGGACATTCAATTAAAAATTTAGGAAACCTTAGGAGTCGACGTATTGATTGCAATTCCGTGTAAAATTTTCTCATGACTCAAATATTTTTCAAACATAACTTACGATAGTATTTGTATTAACAAGACAGCCTGTTGTAATTACAACAGTAACGATTAAAACGATCCGATGAAATGAATTTCCTTGTTTTTTTAAATTATTAAAAAATCGATACCAAAAGTGCGAGACCTTGGACATGATTCCTACAGTCTCGCTATATACCCGTACCCCCCAAGCGTATCGCTGAAAAATTCAAGCTCGTCAATCTATTACATATTGACATGCACAAGAAAAACCGCGCGTTACTCACAAACAAGGAAGGACACTTGCGCGCGAGCTTGCGACGACAACGAACTTTACACACATAATAATATGTTTATGTATCCACATACAATACATGATGCAACTATACAGCATGATAATACAAACTATATATGTAATCGCGTGCCACGAAATAAGTTACATGTGCGCTCTTGTAGGTGATTTTAAATTACTCACCTTGATTACAGTCACTCACGGCCACAAGGTGATAAAGCAGCCAACTCTGAAGCTCCATTACTGCTGTTCCCCACGCCACCTGCAAGTACACAAATTCTATTAAACGAAATAGTTTTTTTTTTTAATAGCGAGCCAGAGCTTTAATCTTTGAGATTTAATGCGTGTAACACGCATATAGAAGTCGTTGGAGATAAAAGTGGGGGTTAAACGGCTGTATCGTCGAGGGTATCGAACTCGGTCTCTGTGAAGTACCAAAATGTTATAGGTGATAAAAATACGATGCCCGTCAAATATTTCTTATCGGTAAGGGCCTTCTTTTACTCACCACCGATTTCATTCGCTTTTATTATTCCACATTATACATACATATAAGTACTATCTACCTATCTATAGATGATAAAAAACAATAACACCGTTATCAGTTGTTTCTTCATTACTTATCAATATATTTCGTAATCCGTGAAGCGGATCGAGCGAGAGATACCCACTAATTGATGTTAAAATTTGCATGGCACAAAAACAGGCACATACACGAGTGCCGTTACATCTTCGCTGTTTGTAATGTATGATTGGGCCATCATTGGAAAGGGTATACCGATATGGTGCCGTATACGAATAACGACAGTAATCATGATTTTCAAATGAGTAGGCTCTGTTTAGGTTGTAAATTTCTCTCAATGTAAGATCACGCGCGAAATGTATAGGTACAATAACAATAAAACACGTATGATGTTGATGGTGCATCAGCTCTATGCCTGATGTATGTATATAACAACATGTGTCGGGGTGGGAGTAAAAGCTCTCGAAAGCTTTCGTAGTTCCCCCGAGTCATTCGCTAAATTGATACTTCACCGTTGAAATCGATAAACGTCCTATACGCGTGTTATACGTATACACACACATCCAAGAGAGAAAGCTTCACTTTTTCCAAGACACATCACACGCCTTATCTCTCGAGGGTCTTGGAAAAAGCAACGGAGGGAAGCCCAAAAAAATACAAAGAGGCTGTTTCTCTCTTTAAAAGACACTTACAAGGAAAAAAGGTCGAAAAGGCAGCTGGTGGGTTGCTCTTAAGAGTAGCTTCGCGGTTATTTTTGCGCAAACTGGGTAAGAACACTCGAGGATTTTTCTATTCCTTCCCGCGAGAGAGAGAAAACCGAGGGACACTTGGTCTAATTGGCAGAGAAGACTCTTGCATCTGGAAGTTTTGCAAGACTTTTTTTCGAATTATAATATATAATGTAGATACAAATGTTGTGGGTACGTATGTCGCAAAAAACAGATGGTATAGGTACTGTGAAGCGCAGGGTATGCCCACCGATCTCGCTACCGATATTTACAAGCAGCTCGACTTGAATCAGTACATAAACATATATGCTTTTGTTGCTGATGTTTTGACACTTAAATGTTTACATATGTAGGTATACCCGCTTTATTTACTACGACGACTAATGTCGAGAGCAGAACACAAAGATAAAAGGTATACATGCAATGCGTATACGATATACCCACACAGTAGAGATTTATTTTTTATTTTTCGATGTAAGCGTCGAGCTATGTTTTTCAAACACTGAAGCGCTCGACGGCATGACAATATTACACGATTGAATCGATTAATTGCGTTGTTTTTACTTTAATTCATTCAGCTGGGAGTAGAAATTATATATAATTATCCGAACGCAAATTATTCGCAACAAATTATAAATTAAAAAAAACAAAGTAGAATCACCATGTACATTTGACTTTTTTTTTGTTTGTTTATAAATTAGAAACGAACCAAGTGGATGTATTATATACAAAAGGTTTATTTAACTTTTGAAACAATCGGTGAGCATCGGGTAGGACAACTTTAAAGTAACAAACACCAAAACAAGAGAGGTGCGGGTGCCGGTGGCTCATTTGTGGCACCGCGGTCTCGTTGTTGTTTTCATTGTTAAACTCTGCTCAACCGCTCACTTGTTCCTCCTCGTGTGCCGAGTATGTGGGTTACTTGCAGGCACTCGTACGGCACAAAAAGTACGCAGTAAGACATCGTAGGAACTTGTACGGCAATACATTTTTCCCCAGTTGTCTTCATCATCATCATCATCATCGGACACGCAATCACAAGTGTTGATGGTATACACATCCAAGTATACTTCATTTATTCGGCGTGATATTCCAAAATGAGAGGTACAAGCCGGTAAGTGAATTAAATTTTATTCAAATTTTTATTTAATAAATTTCGGTGCTCTCGATCGGATTTTACGCGAGGGCTGATTGATACTAACGCAAACCTCTGCTGTCGATCGGTTCTAAGAGTTTATTGTCCATTTTATATGGTATCTGCTCGTTGATTTATATCATTATTCCGCCGCATGCACTGCATATTTTTACCTTTCGCGTTTTTCACGAAAAGTGCCTCCTGGACAGCATTATGGACCGACTTTTGATAAGATAAACAATTCAAGCTCCATAAAACAGTCCTCTTTCTGTCAATCTCATAGATTAAATATATGTGTGAAGAAATCTTCAAAAAAATATCCCGTTTTTGTCCCCCATTTTAATAAGCAAACGTTTTTTTGAGACACACCTTCGATATAGAGCTCATTTTACTCGTAATTTCATGTACAATGAGGAAAAACATTTTGAACAAAGGTTTCGATGTTTATACATAACATCTGTATATATATATATAATTTTAACATGTGAATCGCGGGAAAAGGGCGTCACCCTCACTGAAACCCGTGTTGAAAATTTTTTTCCTCATAGCACATGGCATAAAGAGCGAAATGAGCCCTATCTCGAAGGTATGCCTCAAATAAATTTTTTTAATTAAAATGGGGGACAAAAACGGGATAATTTTTGTAGATTTCCTCGTATATTAATTTGCCTCTTTTATGAATGTTTAGGTACCAAAGAAGCTCCAGAGGCAGGGGTCGAGGTATGGATTACAGCTCGCAAACTCTTACATCAAAACCTCCGGGGTGGGGGGTACAAGGACCAGCCCCTCGTGAGTTTGTCCACCAACACGCATGGATTGGAGCTCCAAGGCCAAAAATCGGATCGGTAAGTCTTGCACTGTCGACGAGCAGTACCGATAATATGACGCGGATAGGAGATGCGAAGGACAAACAGATCCTTCATCAGCTTGACCAGAGGAAGACCTCGCCGGTGCTCCCACCAATGCCGATCTCATCTGGCTACAAGCTCCAGGTAACGACAAACACGAGCTGCTCGTGTAATGTGAATTTATATTAATTAGAATTTGGGGTTGGTAAAAGGAAACCAAAAGTCCTCGTCCAAGAGTAACACGTCGTCAACCATACTTGTAAATAATATATATACCACATGCCATGTAGATTCAATTTTTTTTTTTTTTTTTTTTTCCACTCTTAGTCCCATAAAAGGTGCATGGCACTGATTCCTGATGGCTACATGGGTATTTGTGATACCGTCAAGTACATTCCAGTTTCCTCCATAGAGCGTGACTCCAATGGGGATTTTGAAGTTATGGTTTCTGAAACTGTTACGCCGTCAATTTTTTGTGTCATGCTTTTAAAAAATTGTGACGAGTTCAACGAGTTTATGAGCCGTTTGGGGTATTTCTGTCATCTCAATAATATCCATTTACTCATTCGGTTAATCTTTTTTAAATGCTGTTAATCGATTTTTTTTTTTTTAGGGACTTTTATGAAGAGAAAGATGTGCAGTCCCTCAAGGTCCCTCGATGTATTTTACAGCCTGGACTGAATGTTTGCTGCAACCTTTTAGGTGTTTGGTATAGAGCAATGATCATAAAAATCAGGGATGACGGATCGGTCGTGGTTAGAGAATTTTCACTTGATAATTAAAATCATCGAACATTTTTTTATTGTATCCTCGATTCTTAAAAAAAAAACGTAATTTCAGGTATTTTTTTACGACTACGGCATTGTCAGATCGTACGATTCCAATGACCTGTTCTTCCTACACGAGTCTTTCTCAAAGTTACCGGCTCAAGCCATAGTTTGCGGCTTGCACGATGTCAAGCCCATTGGCTCTTACGTGTGGCCAAAGAGTTCTACCGATGCATTTGCCGATAAAGTATTAGGATTACTCTTTGTGGCAAGAATTCATGTTTTACGCGAAGATGTGCGTAATTTCGTGAATTGCTTGGAAATAAAAATTTTAGTCGTTATGGAATGTTGTGTTTCATTGTTCTTTTATTTTTAGAACAATACCATGGTAGTGTCTTTGACAACCAAAATGGACAAACGCGAGGACGGAACTGTAAGCGATTGGATGGTGAAAAATAAATTGGCTAATTGGGGAGAAATGGTTTGTTACGAGTACTAGTACATCACGAAAATTATATGTATAAATTTCTTTTTTTTTCCATTCAGACTTTCAATAAAATAATATGTGTCTTACACGCATGATTACAATAATTACTAAAACGAAATGGGATCTCAGAATCTTTTATTTAATTTTCATGCTACGAGTGATTAAAATATGAGAAAATTTGATGGCATCGGCCAAAAAATTTCAACAGTTTTCGTTTTGCTACAGGTCAGTTACGACGAAGCCCCTCTTCATGAAAGAGTACGGGACGCAGGGCACAGTCACAAGCAAGTTACTAGTTATAAACTTGCATCAGTTGAAACGAAACGGGATGATAAATTACCGGCGATTGACAACAGTTCAATGGGTCTGTATCATCCAAAAGAAAACCCCGACTCCATGGAAGAAACCAACGTGATGGACCAATCAATTTGTGCCGATGTACCCAGTCGAGGCGAACTTCATGAAAGCTCGACTGAGTCGAATATCAACAGCTTGATGAAAATTTCGATTGAAAACAGCCAAGACTCCGGTGAGGTTCAAGCAAATGAACGGGGCAAGTCCCCTGAGCTTGCACAGAAATCTTCTATGATTCCAACCGTTTCGAAACGAATCGACGGTCATGTGTCCAGACAACCGTCAAAAATGAATGTCCAAACGGAAACTAAACAAAATGAAAAATCGGATCAACTGGCAACCGACAACCCAAGACAATTAGTGAATACCGATTTGGGGGAAAATGTTAATCCGGCATCCCCGTCTGTATGCAGTAGGGGGACAAGCCTAGATTTTAATAAGGACTTTGTTGAATCTAATAATTCCGAAGGCAATCAGGTGTTCGAAGATAGTGTCAGCAATAAAGATGGTGGGCCTGAAAGGGGTTCTCCACCTCAAACTCGAAAAATTTTGGACGAAAATAGTGTTTCGACACAAGACACAGCTTATTTTATGATACGTGAGTTTATTATTATACTTACACATAATGTTTTTATACAGAAGTATTTTTTTAAAGTTTTTAGTAATAACCGGATACGTAATCTTTCCAGATCTTAGTGAAAAAATGGATCAAAAAGCTTTTCACGTTTTTCATTACGACAAAGAGGGTTGGTTATTCCTTGAGGAATTTGTTAAAGTTTTTACAAATTTGAAGGAACCAAAAGTTTTTCTCAAAATTTTAGATGTTTTAAATTGTTCTCTACCCTTAAAGCTCATAAATAGAGACACGGAACCTCAACTTTTCTCTCAATTAGATAAGTGAGTGATCAATATTGGAAATAACAATAGTAACTCCCGAAAAATAATAACATTCAAAATAAGCGTGTATAAATTTTCAGAAGTGCACTGATTGTTCCACGTGAGCACAACAAAGTTAAGTCAGATTTCGATTTGACGCTTATGCCCTTGAGAAGTATGTTCAAAGTATTGGAAAAACTTGGTTTGGTATCTGTCGAGACGATGCTTGAGGCATCGTATGAGATCAAACGACTGAACGAAGAAGCGGCACAAAAATTCTTGTTCGCCAAGTACAAAAACAAAATACTTTATGATTCGTTGGTGAGTCTCAGCTGTATCGAAATTAATACGATTGTTACATTAAATTCTTGGTATCACATGACAATTTCGTTTTTACTTTTTCAGAACATAGTTTTGCAGTACAAAAAGTTCAGACGTGCCATCGATGGATCAGCCTCGCCCAACTCGAAATTCTCAATCACTCCGTGATATCGTAAGCTTTTTGAAATAGCAGGCACTTTATGAATAAGTGCGTTTTAAAGTCTTTAAAAATGTTCTGTTGTTGAATAGTTTTTTTTTTTATTTTATACAAATTGTTAAACAGTTACATTTTTAATACTTTTAATATTTTTAACACATTTTATTTACAAAAGTTAACAGCAAATACGTTAAAACCAACACAGTTACCAAACAACTGTTATTTGTGACCAAATCTACAAATATAAGTACATTTTTATTTAATCTAATCATCTTGATTTTGGTCCCAGTTGAAAATATGAAATCGACAATCCAAAAATTAAAGAAAATATAAAATATACCTCGTTTACAGTCAGACTAGAGTTTGCAGTAATCAGTAGTTCGAAGCAATTTTACTGACTATGAGAAAATTCATATTGTCTTTGTTTCTTCGAGAGTATTTATAGTTTAAAAAAAATATTATTAACAAGCTCAAGCGTCTATTTTATAAACCCCACGTGTCACCTACTTCGTTTGCCGGCGTAAGGTCTTTGATCGCAATTATTAATAGACACTGTGCAAATCGATTACCAGAGCCCTGAGTTATTGGCTTTCTCGCAAATGAACATCAGGTAGCGAGCAAATTTAACGAAGTTAATGCTCTTTGAACCCCTCAAAAGCTCACTATAAACTGAACTCTATTAAACGTATTGCATTACGAAAAACCACGTCCTTTGTTCCTACGAATATATATTATTTCAATTTCAACGAAAATTCTTTGATGAACTAACGATCCTCTTCCAACCGCAAGCTCGTAAAATTGCTTTAATGTAAGAATGTAACAGACCTGTTTATCATTCCGGATTTACCCTACATATTTCACAGTAATTGTTCCAGGACTCTCCTATCAGAGATATTTATCGTGTATGCTTTGCCGGTTGTACATCCATACCAACGTTTCAACGAATAAATTGGATTTTTCTTTTTTTGTGATTCTCTTGACGCTGCGGCGATAAGAAATATACCAACGTTGGTATGGTTGTACACCATTACGTCGTGAACAATACATTAAAGAAGTTCAGCATATAGGTGGCAGTCACGTGTCCCGAAAGGTGTAGTCAAGTTTTCACAGTAACGTCAGGTTTTCCCAGAGGTAAGAGAAAACATATCCTAGGGGGCTGATGGGGATGAGGATATACGAGAGCGCGGCAAAGTGGGTTTCGTGCCCATCCCCGGCAGCACACGTGTGCGACGGAGCAACAATTGCTCGGAAAGCTTTGAGGAAACGGGGCGGATAGAAATCGCGTGTTGTACCTGTATACATGTATAGCTGAGTCGTCCCTGAGCCCTCTGGCCTGATGGCTCCCTTCCTATACAATAAGTAGTATCGACCCCCGAGCAGCTGTTGCTCGAGGTGAGACGAGCCTCGGGATGGTGGAGGGACATGTTATACGTATATTATATATACAAGCTGTACTTAACCAACACCGTATGTTGCACCTTGCTTGGTTTTTCATTGTTTTTTATATTTCCTTCCTTTTTCTCCGGCGAAAGATTATGGCGACGGACGGACACATGCTTGGATTTTCTGGATTTTCAAGGAGAAAGAGCCTGTCATTGTGCTTCTGGGTGTGGTTTTTTTTTTTTTTTTTTTTTTTTTTTTTAAAGAAAAGTCTTAGGACGCGTGCAGAGTCTGAAAAGTCGACGTGCTTGCGCAGTTTGACGTTGTTTTTAATGAAAAAGTACTACGGTGTTGCTGAAAAAAAAAAAAAAAATGTATATATACACGTGTGCTTGCTTGATAATACATTTCTTGCGTGTATTCATTTTTCGTGAAGAGTAATTTTTGGAAATAAATGTACGCTGGCGGGTATTGAGAACTAATTTTCGGACAAAGGTTTTTTTGATACGTTACGGTAGCCGTTTGTTTGCAAGTTAAAGCTCTATTTTTTTTTTTTTTTCAAAAAAAAGAAACGAGAAAAGTTGATTCGTGGATGGTTTTATGAGTATTATCTTGATTTAGTATGTTTTGAAATAAAAATCTTTTCTTTGTCATTGGAACAAAGACGTGCGCTTTCTTGTTGCAGCGCTTGTTCATTTTTTTTTTCCATTACTTTCTATTTCTTTCCATTATTTTTACGAACACAGCACTGTTATCCATGACTTTATCCAATTTAATTTTCCTTCTCCCTTGCAGCAAATGATCGACCTCGTTTTTTTTTTTTTTTTTTTTTTTTAATTTCTCGTCTCACATAGTATCCCGTTGGTACTTACAGATGTTGACAGTATTTTATAAGCTATTGTTCCTAAAAGCAAAAAGATATCGAAAACTTGTTGAAAAATGTTTCTCTTATTCTCAACCAACAAGCAGTATATACATAAAAGTAAACAATAATAGCAGATGACGGAAAAAACACTTCGAAGATACACTCTTTATATCGAATACAACGAGGTGTATCCGTATACGCGCATCCAGAGAACAATCATCCAATTAAGATCGTCAATGTCTATCTAGTTCAGCTATACGTCGTATACTTATTACGTGCATCTTAACAAAAACTACGTAATATATATACCCACAGCTAGAATACGTTTTTCCTCTCTATAAATTTTACTTCAACAAACATGATGATTCCATTATACCATCAAACCGGATGCGCCCACGTACCTATACACATCATAAGTTAAAAAAAAAAAAAAAATTACAAGAGCCATCGCGCAAGTAACAGATATCCATACGAGCGTATACCATTCGTTCTTCCCTTTTTTTCTCCGATCCACACGCACGCGAGCAACATCTGCCTTTTCAAGGTATGTAACCCACACACACAAGGCACGCGACAACGGCACGCGTACGTTCAATCGATCTCTCTGCAAAATGGACGCACGTGCAACTGTGCACGGGAAAGCGTATGGAAATTATATTAAAAGACATGGCTGTCACTTTATTCCATTATATCAAGGTTGACGAGGTTTAGTACCAAAAAAGGGACATTGGAAAAAAAAAAAAAAAGAAAAAAAATTTCGTTACAATAAATGAAAATCTCTTGGAGCCGATATATTCAACGTTTTCCACATTGTCGCGCTTCTATGCCGATAAAATTATGCATACGTAGATTTTTACACGTCTTAAATATACATAAATATGAGAGATCGAAAAGGTACCTAGATATGTATATCCTGTAGGATTGTTTTTCGGTTCAAATTAAATGATTATACTCGTTAGTTGTCAAGAAATCGACGATGAATTAATGCCCTTTATCCTTCCTGTTTGCACTCAATAAAATACACACGCTCCCTTTGTACCTATATACACGGACAATGGGCGCGTTAAGAGTTGGGACGGCGCAGGTGGACGAGTAAGTATATTTTCCGAAGACCCGAGTTCGCTGTCCTGAATAAGTTATATATAATATGACTTGGTCGTACGGGTGCGCCTCTCTTATCTTATTTTACCCACAAAGCAAACACATCGGGTACATCGAAGCCCAATCAATCGTTTGAATTTATTATTTCATCTATTTTTCTTTTTCTCTCTTATATATAACTGCTGCTACTGGGAGTACTTTAAATAAAGTATAGTTAACCCGAGTTGGTGGACTGGAGTTTAATTTGCACGCTAAATTCACACCCTCGTTGCAGAGTTGTTTGAAAAGTATTACGGACTTAGTAGTATTAAGTACGTAGCTGTACAATTAGAACTGCATATACAGGGACGAGACAATGGGAAAAGATGTTGTATAATCACTGCGCGTATACGTGCGATGTAGGTATTTTGTTTTGTTGTAGTAATGGGACATGATGGTATTGAAGGATCTGTGAAAATTCCCATGATAAAACCTACACGTTAACGCTATGCGCTGACGTTGGGACTTGATTGTACATATGTGATGGGCGTATGCATTTTACATTGTGCAAGAACGTAAATTATATATATATATTGTAATGTTGTAAAAGTTATGCGCGTGAGGAGAAAGCAAACTTTCTTTTCGCTGCACGAACAATATAATATTAATGCCCTCTCTTCTTTTAGAATGTGAGACTGTCATTTATGATGTAATGTAGATGTATACGTAACAAATTATAAAAAAAAACAAAAAAAAACATAATATGTGAAAACAGGAAGGAGACTATTTTTCACTTATTGGGCTAGGTGCAGGGGAGAAATTGACGTTTTACAATAAATACAGTTTTCAGGTACAAAAGATGTCGATCTCATAAAGGTACAGCATATTGTTGTATTGGATAGTTAATCTCTATACTTGCGTCCTGCCGATCTGAACAACGAATAGATAATATATATCCTTCGAATTTGATTGAAAGTCCTTCGACAGCCTTTGACTGTTCACCACTACACACTTGTAGTATAACGTACATGCTTTGCGTTTTGTATGAAAAATCACAGTCTTTTACAAAATTTTTGCCAACGTGGGTAGAAAAAAAAAAAAAAATTTACCTCCTTGATGCTTCAAAGTACAAGCCCACATGTATCCGTCATACCCACTTATATACTTTGTACAGGGTACGTTACATCAGTAATCTTGAGTAGATTCTAGATTATCATATATAGACGTACTTCAGTCCACAGACACGTAAGAGATCGTTGCAAATGAACAGCTGCATTAAGAAAGTTCTCCGAGCTCTCTTTTTGCTCCCCTTTTCTTCGGTGCCATTCGTATATATATACTTACTGTTATGTACATATATCATCAACAACTACACCCTGAACTGCACAACATGCGTGTAACGGATGCAACGATGTGCCATGAAAGCCATCGCGATTATGGTCGTTATTCAATAAAAAAATTAAAAAATGAATAAATAATCAAGTGACGCATGGATTCCGATGGGTGTACCCTTTTGCTTGGCTTAAACCTCAAATCGATCGAAAATTGCAGGGACTAAGTTGAATCGAGATTTTTATCCATCTTATGCTGCAATACACGCATTTGTATAGCATGTCACTCTCGCGTCGATTTATAATTAAAAAAAAAAAAGAAAAAAAAAAAGAGAACCTCATCCTCGGCTGTGCGTGTGGGATTGCTTTTTTTTTTTTCAACTGCCTTTCTCGCGACTTGTGCAAGCTGACCTGCTTCCAATGATCCTAATGAGGGGAGGTGTTTCTTTATGGATGCGGTTCTCGTGCAGCCATCCGGACGCCCTTGAGTACGTGTGTATACCAACGTGTATATATAAAAGGTTCATAATATATAAGCATTAGGAAGAAGCTCGAGTGCCCGGGCTCACTCTTTCTCGCTCTTTTGCGCGAGGTATGCGATTTTTCGCTGTGATGTGATGCTGATTCGATCGGATGAAAAAGGCCATACTTTTTCCTTCGACTTTCGTGCGATGTGTGGGACCCAAATGGGTGCAATTGTGACGCACATATTACCGTGTAAATCATCCAAGCGTATACTTTGTAAAAGCGTTTTTGGGAATGAGATTCAAGATCCATTCATTTAGGCTTGATGTTTTTTTTTTTTTTTTTTTTTTCATCATTGTGCGCCATCTACTAGGGGGGGGGGGATCAATCCCATTGAACTGTGCTAGTGTTTGGATTATTCGGGCAAATCTCAAGGTATCGAAAATCGAAATATCATTTTATTCTAGCGTTTCTTGGTTCAATGGTTGTTTATGTTTTTTTAAATTTAATTTAATTTTTTTTTTTAATATTCATAAAGTCGAAAAGTACAATTACATGGTTTAGTTGAACTTTGTAATTGATGAAGTGTTGTACCGCATAGATTACAAACAAAAATTGTCATGATGTACACTTTCATGAGAAATTGTTTATTTTATTAATCCATTGATCGTTGTTACACTAAAAAGTGTCCCCAATCACGGATGCAAACATGTTTCTGTGGTATAAGCATAAATATACAGTTGTCCTCGAGTAGACCGTCGTTTCACGTCAACTAGAGCGAAAGTTAAGGGTGATTTTCCGTACTGGCGATTGTTTCTTCGCTACACCTACATCGATCGAAAAATCATAACTTTCTGTAAAACGTCTTTTACCGTTTGAAAAAGAAAAAAAAAAAAAAGAAAAAAAAAGAAAAAAAAGTCAGACTGTCGTGCCTGGCAGCAATCAAGCGAATAACGATAACAAGTGCACACGAACTAGTCCAATCCTCTCTGATGTGTTTGTACAGCACCGTTCAAACAAACAGCTCTGCATTTAACTCGGACGGTGTTTTAAACGATCATGTTTGATGGCCGAAAAGACACGTGAATATAATTGCGCCTGACATGTCAAAATACATGCACGTATAATATCTACACACATGTACAATACCATCAGGGCTATGAATTCCAAAACACAGAAAAATAAATCTCCTAGCTGAAAGACAAAAGTTGCAAGTCCATGAAAAAACTCGAAAAACTTTTTATTTCATTTTTTTTTTTCTACTTTTCAAGATGAAACCGTTACTTGGTGACTCGTTATTTCTGGTACCTATAGAATTATACTCAAGATTGAACTCTTGTATATCCGGATTGCTGCAGTTTCCTATCGTCCAGTTGAGTGTATTAGAAATTTTTTATTTTTTTTTATACATTTAGCTTTCTTTTTTTCATGACCACCGGAGCTACAGCAAGTGCAGCAAACACAACTCGCGAAAACGGCTCCAAGGTGCCGTGATATCATCCGAGATAAAATCGTGCAGGTCCGCGTTTAATTTGGTCGATCGAGATAAGTATTAGGCTGTGCAACTTGTTGATGTACGTACGTTTTAAGCTGCGGCTTCGTTACGTTAAATGCAATGTGGTTTTCGACTTTAATTAATAAACAATACGCGAGCCTCACAGCATTTCCACGCAATTGTCATTTCATTACTACATTGGCGCTAATATAGTATAAACGTGAAGATTTGTATAAGTACCTCTACTGTTGGTCAAAATTTTACGGGTTTTTGTTGAATAAAAAAAAAAAAACACGCAGCTAAATAAGAGTTTTATTTAACAAATAAGTAGTTCGTGACGATAAAAAAAAAATTCAGAGGAAAATGCAGTTAGTACTTACAACTCAATTAAATGAACGACCGAGAGATAAGAAAGAATATGTGTCGCTGTAAATTGACATTTAACGATGATAATAGACGCGCGAACGAGACATGAGTTAAAAAGTTTATTTTTAGAGGCTGATGGTTGTTCTTTTTTAGAGTACATATACATATTTAATTGAAATTTGAGGGAGGCTGTAAATTGGAGTGAAATTCGATTACTTAGACTATAAAATCCATCAAGCTGGTAGCTATACAATGATCACTTACAAAAAATAACCTTGCCCATAAAAATTAACACCGACGTAAAAACGTGTCCGTAAACCTTGTTAATAAAACACATCTCTTTATTCGAACAGATCCTCTTGCTGTAGAGTTGGTGTAGGTGGTAAGTATCATAATATAATATAATATATACCTATACAGCAGAGGCAGCAGCTTGTTGCGTTTATGCATGACGAGCACGTATAGGGCGTACTATAGAGATATATATGGATACTTATATATACGTTTTATATTGCAGGTATATGAGTATAAGTACAAAGGAATTGGCAAGTATATAAGTATAATATACTCACCGCGAAAGGTTTCCGGGGTCGCCTCGGAGCGACCCTCTACCGTTGCTTGCTGGCTTACTCCTTAATAAGTACTACTTATATTCGTGCGTAGCGAGGCTCAAGAGGGTGCGAGAGGCACTTTTGTTCAAACCATCCCTTGGTTATTGTTATTATTATACATATTATTTCTTCGTTACTTGTTCGAATACTCTTGCACCTTTGGTCACATACGATTTATAACTGAGAAAAACAATAATTATTCAACACACAATCGTCCACGATTCTTGCGATGACAATAGCTATAACGAACGAACAAAAAACGCTCGCGCGCGTTCGAAACGCCCATCAGTCTTTGCGCGGTGGGATTTTGTAATGAACGTATATAAGTGCGGTAAAAAGCTCTGGCCGCGCGCTCCGTTCGGAAGACCGGAGTCGTCTGGTTGGCGGTGCGAGCAGCGGGAGCAGCAGCTGAATAAGTACATATTATATACAGCGAAGGCCTTCCTTTTTTTTTTTCACTCCTCGCACCCTCCTCTCTGCCGCTCCGCCTGCTCTGCTCTCATATTATATATGTGTTGTGGTTATTCTCAACTGCTCTCTCCACGTGCGATATATATTTGTCGAACGTTGCCATGGTAATTCCAACGGCTATACGTGTGTGCGCCACCCCTACCTGGAATACGTACCTTTTAGGGGTGGTTACTGGGAATCAGGGTGTTCGACTGGTTCGCGGTGTCATTGTTGCGACGTTATTGAGCTTTAAACCGCCATTGCAGAGAAACCTTACAAACAGAAGCCTCTCGGAGCGGGAATGTTAGAGCTTAAAAAATGGACTTTTCAAGAAAACTATTTCTTATTTTCGCATGCATTGCGTGATTTGTGTGGCTCTTCTTTTGTGTTAGAGCTTTCGGAAAAAGTATTGATAAATTTGATACTTGTAACAAAAGTACACTAAGGCTTGTGTTTGAAAACTAAATTTTTTGATTAGCATATGGTAAATTATTTGTTAGGTCTCACACGATTGATAGTAACAGGTGAATATTGAAAAGTAGATTATTTTTTGTAACTGTATGTATTGAGCTTTATAAAATTTTCCAAAGTGTAAAAGAACATGAAATGTAAGTTACAATAAAAAAGTATAAAATAGTCAACTTTTCCTGAGCAGCTGTGTAATTCACAAACGTTAAAAATAAATGTAACTGTTTAAACTTTCGAGTATATATTATACAAAAATGTCGTTCAACTTTAACTTATTGTGCGTGTATTATGCAAGTAATGTATATGGCAATGCATTTGTTAGTTTAAAAAATTCCTCTCCACTGGTTCTGAATTTTTTGCAAATGTGCGTATGCTCTTTGTGAAATATTCAATGCAGGATGCATTTCTTGTAGACTGGGCTCTTCTATCAAACTTAAGCTACATATTCCTGCACAAAGTATGCATTTAAAAAAATTGATTTAAAATGATAAAGATACTATTGTGTGAAGTACGTACCAAAGTATGCATGTAGGGGATCTGGTTGTTCGTCAGCGTACTTGCCAAAGCCTCCCATTATTGTGTTTTGGGTATCAAGAAGAAATGCCCTATTCTCTTCCCAGTTTGATAATTTACTAATTCCCAGTAAATTTAAAGTTGCCCCAATCCAAAAGCTGTAACAAGAGTCCGATGGTTTGCCAGGTCTTCCATGAAAACCATCAACTTGCCTCATAAGACACCATCTCTTCAACTTGTCCAACTGATTTTTAGTGAGTGCATTATCTAGTTCATCCATTAAATATAAGCTAGCCACAGCACAAAACGAAGAGCCGCCATGGCTCTCGAGACCTGGTCCTTGACCAAATCCACCATCATATGACTAAAAAGTACAATTATGTTTCGAATAGTTAAAAATTTTTTTTTTTACTGTACTATACAATACTGTACAAATAAAGACTTACAAAACTTTTAACAATATAGTCAACAGCCTTTTCTTTATCCACTCCAGACCAGTCATCTAAAACAGCTGAAATCCAGCAAGCACAATAGAGAAACCTCATGTCACTCTCGTATCCTGTTATCATCGCGGTAAACGAACCATCCGAGTTCTGACAAGCTTCAACCGCTTTGATAATAGAATCCCTATCAACATCACTCAAATCATCCTCAAGAATCAGCAACCCTGCTAAGCTTGTGTAGGTCATTGCCAAATGGCCACAGTGATATTTAGTTATTACATCTTTTGGAATCATGGAGGATGATTCAAAGCCCGATCTTTTGCCAGCTCCCTTGACTTGTAGTCTGTAAAACCAATTGATGGCGTCCTTTTTTTGCTGTTGAGACAGATGATCCAAAGCATTGAGTAGATCCAGACCTGACAGGGCAAAGTATGCTAAAGTCGCTCTCGAGGCATCTGGTACACCCTGAGGGACCATTTGAAGAACTAACTGAAAGTACTTGATGTGTTTCTTCTCTACCAATTTTGGTGTAGCTCTGCTCATTTTCCTCAACATCTTGAGGCTCCGTAATTTTTTTTTCTTTTGTAATAATATAAGTATTTATAACTAATCAACAACCAGAATGACTCATCATCTGCACAGTTCTTGTTGGAAAATCAATATTTACAAGTGAAAATATTTCTGTGCAGCCACATTGTCAGAATCACTGCTTTTCCAGCTTCTCTAAAATGAAATAATCATATAACTAATCGTGGTAAGATTGTTTTAAAATATCTTACTTGCTCAGTATGTTTACGATTAAAACTTACAATTATCAATGAAGTAGCATTTATGCAACAACTATTGTGCTCATAATTGTCACCATAACTCAGCTGTCAGTTTTAACAACTGCATTGAAAGTTAAAGTTGGATGTAACATCGTTTTCAATTTCTAAACAAACACAATTCATGACAGACGTACGTAAATTTTGACCAAGCTCAGAAAATTGGTACCTACACATACCATAATTACAACAAATGCGTATTTAATTAATGGATTTGACACATGGAAGCAATTAAAATAACCGATATTAAGAGATTACCGAAAAAAATTTTCGACAAGTACTCACTATTCGTAACTCTAATTCAATCTGACAGAACTCGACATCATGAAAGCTTGTAAGAACACTAAGAGAATGATATCACGGTGCATCTATAGATGCTGATACTTATAGATGTATGGAATGGAATACTACACGTTGAGAAATGAGAGCACAGAGAGAGAGACCGAGAGAAATGAGAGAAAAAAAGAGAGGGGTAAAGTTATATACAAAAAGAGAGTGAAAGGCAGCAGCAGACGAAACCATCGCGCATCGTGCACAGCGCAATGTTAAGCTTCGAGGGTCGAGGGTTCGAGGTTCAAGCAGCCAAGTATTAGAGACACACGCACGTCACGCACTGTTCGACAAAACCGGCAAAAGGTATTTGCCATTCAATTCTTGATACACTATTAATTGTAATATTAATTGTTCGCAAGCTTACGATTAAACACAATTGCCTACAATATTTACGTATAAGTATGGAATTCATATACTTCACATCATCTCCATCGACACTCCATCCTGTGTGCCTTTAGCTCTGCGCGTCGCTCAGTTATAGGGAGTAGTATATACCTTCTATACGGCACAAACGTCCTCTCTAGAGTGTAGACGACCTGGTACACCTATCTAGACAACCTTTACCCAGGAAGAGCAAAATCCTGGCGTTTTGTTTAATCGTCAGTTGGCATCACCAAGCCTCCTGATCCATTGTATACCTAATACACTTGCTCCGTTGTAGTTGTTGCTGCTTGTGCTGCGACTCATCTAATAACCTCAACCTCGGACCTTTTGTACCGGCAGACGTCTGTCGACATCGAGGTAAGAGTACAGCACAATATATCTGCGTGTACCTGGACAGTTGTGTCAAAGCCTCTAGGTATCTTGTATCTTAAAGTTTAGTGGATATCGAAATCCATTTAACTTTCCACACCCACAAGTAGGTACCTACTTAGATATTGTTCGAGCATGTTGAGATTTCTTTTTTTCGGGGCGAGTGTAGGTACTTGTACGTATCTACCGGAGCGTTGGATGTACTTGAAACCTTGATACTTAAGTTGCGCGGATATAAGTATAGACTTGCGTTGGTTATTTGTACCAAATCACCCCCTCCCTTCTTTCTCCTTAAAATGCAGGTTATAACGTGTTTCTGGACCAAAAGCTTTTTGTAAAAGTGCATGGTCTTGGTAACATTTTCTTACTTCAACTACTTAGCAGTGTTTCAGAGAATATTTACGTTGAATTTTTTCACATCGAGCTCCAATTTTAATAAATAAGTAGGTACTGCTCCGTTACTTTTGTTAACGTTTAAGTGGCGTTTTGGTGCTAGATAAATAGTTGTCTGGAACAAGGTTTTCTCCTTAATAAAATTCTTAGATTAAAGGAATTGTTAGCGATTGTTTGACACACCTTTGTAGTAATACTTAAACTGTAAATTGATTGTTTAGCTAATGATAAAATGTAAATCAACAAACGTTATTTTTTGTACCACTAAATCAGGTATCTTCCCAATTTAGTACATTATGGGGTATCTGTCTTAGTTTTAGAGGTATCCAAATTAGCTTAGCTGCTATAGATCCAGCTTTATGATTAAATATGAATGTGTATTTTACATAAAATATATCATGTATGAAAACATTTAGTAATGCAGTTAACGTAAATACGAATCAAGTATTATTCGTTTATTCGTTTATACAATTCGTTAATGTTTATGCGTAATGTTAACATGATTTAATATTAAAATGTATTCCTGTAACTTTCTGCAGTTGGATAGGTATTGATGTTTATAAAATCGTAAATTTTGTTCAATACTGCATAAGTCACAATTTAATAAGAATTTAGCCAAGTACTTTACACTGTGAAGTTTAAGAAAATTAATCAATGATCTAATAACGTTTTTACTCATCACGTTTTTGTATAACTTGTCTGAAAGGCCAGAACTAGATTTTTGCACTTAACTCTAAGCATCAATATTGTTTGGCGGCCGAATTATCGCATTTGCCAATAAACAACGAAAGCACCTACATGGAAATAGGTATAAACAGCAGCCAAAGCTGAAGCAAAACTCAGCTATGTGAGCTCATAAAATATTTGTCAGGCAATAATTTATTTCTGTCGTGAATTTTTTAACGTTAGCAATATATTAAAAGAGCTCGTATTTAATTATTGACTCCGAAAAGTGGCGATTTGTCAATACCTAAGAAAGTATGAACGTACGAAAACCAAAGTCCAAAGTAGGTAATGCAGATGTCTCTGCTGTAGGCAGAGGTCGACGGCGGACGGCGGCGACGCAAAAACACAAGCGCATCATGCCAGCCAATCCAATCTCCAATCCCCGCTTGTTTGATGTGTATCTCATCGCGTTACCAGAGGACGCCAGTCTTGTCGTCTCAGTCGTCATCGTCATCTCTCGCGTGTTCCCTTCTCTTTCTCGCTAACATATAAAATACACCACACGTTACTCGAACTTGGTCTCACCCTCCCCTTTTTTTCGGCGGTCCACTGCAAGCGTGTACGGAGAACGGAGTACTGAGTCATACCACCATCGCTTATATGCATCTGCAACATACACACAACATACGTGGCTTATACGCCCTTGTGCATACCTACACTCTCTACCTATAGATGTGTTGTTTCTCCCGAACCGCACAAAGACGCAGCTAAGTCGTTGGAAGTTAGCCCCGCGCAGCTCGGCTCAACGGCAGGCACGCCGCAGTTAGCGTACCAACTCTAAAGAGTATTTACGTAGAGTAGCACGGAGACAGAGCAGTAGCAGCGTTCACTCGCTCGCAGTGTGTCTCTTCTTTCCGGGCTACTCTCAGCGAGGAAAGATGGCTCAGAACAATTATTTCGGCTTCACCCACGGCGGCACGCAATATGGGTACGTTTTTAATCGTTTAACACTTTGATTTGCCCCCTCGAGCGTACGGTCATTAACATTACCCCGTTACGCTCGGCATTTTCGCATCCACACCGCGTGTCTCGCTTTCATTTCCTGGGCTGCACTTCCGAACTCTAGCCTGCCGGCTCGAGAGAGCCGCCGCCATTTCTCTCTTCAGCGATCCCTTTCTTAGGTAAGTAGCGTGCGTCGCCTCGTGCGCTCGGCTAATGCGTGCCCAACGTTATCCCGGGGACCCGCTGCCGTGCCAGGGCGAGTGTGAGCTTCAATTCCAGAAGAGCACTGCTTCTGCCAACTGCCTTTTAGGTCACGACTCCGGCGTGACGGAACAATTTCTTTAACGCGGTCCCACGCGCCCTCCCCCTTCGCCGTTCTCGTTTCGTGCATGTACGCAAAGCGTGGCCCCGATGGACTCCAACCATGACGGCCGCGTGTGCCGCAGGAGATGAGATATTTTACAACTCTGCTCGCATCGAGTGTCCATGGCAGATACAAAAGTTACCATGTAACGGGTCTAGCTCTATATATAATAAATATATAGCCGAGCTCGAGGTGACTTTCCTGATGATTATTTTTGTTGCATAGTTCGTTCTCTACTATTTATTGCCTCATACTCACGTGAATCTGTGTGTGGAGTATTCATTCATAAGCGGGAACGAATTTTCTCGTGTGTGAGTAGAAGCGTAGCTATAGTGATGGACCGTTTGGAGCACGAGGTTCTTGCGTTACGTTTTATCTTTTGATTTTCTGTTGAGTCAACTCGAGACCTCTTTTTGATTGTTCGCAGAGCTACCAGTGCTGCAGCCTACCAGACCGGCCAGGCTGGCTACGCCGTGACCCCAGCAGCGACCGCCGCAACGTACACCCAGAGACCCGCCGCCGCAGCGGCCACAGGTTACGAAACTTACCAGGCAGCTGCAGCTGCTGCCGCGACCGGCACCACGTACGCCGGTAAGCTTTTTATTTCTCCTATGTCCTATGGTTTTTCGTGTCTCCTTGCACATTAATCAGCAGCTTATCCAGGAACAGTGCCACAGACCTACGACTACAGTTACGGACGCGCAGCTCCTGCGGCTACGTACGACGCGACCAAAACCTATTACCAGCAACCGGCGGCCGCTGCCACTTACACGACTACTGAGACCCACTACCAGGCGGCTAAGCCAGCCTACAGCACGACTAGCGCGTACGCCGGTGCTCCTCGTCAGCCAACGGCCACTGGTCAGGCCAAGACTTATCAGGCGGCGAGTACGGCCTACCCGCAGCCCAATCCCTCCCAGAACGCAGCTTACTCTTCCGGTTACTCGGCTCCAGCTGCACCTGCTGCTGCTCCAGCTGCAGCCACGAACAGTAAGTATCTCCGAGGTTTACTCAGAGCAACAGTTTTTTCCAAGCTTTTGTACTTGAATTTTTAATTTAATATAAATCTACTAATAATAGAATAAGAATTAGTTTGATTAAATCAATGGACTGGTCTTTACAAAAAACACTTATATGTTAATGCTAAGCTGTTAAAATTTTTTTGGGTATGCCTAAGCTTCCTCATCAGTTTTTCCCTTATCGTTATTCACATTTGTTTTTTAACCAATTATTGGAACTTTTTTTTTCTTTTTCTAATGGTTCCCTCAATTTTTAAAGATGTATGAAAAGGACAAAAAATTAAGGGTACTTGAGTGGTTGTCAGTACCCTGATTTTGTTCCATAGAACTTTCACAATATGCCTAACCAAAGTGTAATTTTGAATCATGTTTAAAAATTCAAATAAAAAATTTATGGAACAAAGTCATGTACTGATATAACGAGTGTATTTAGTGTAAAAAAGATATGAAATTGATTCTCTCAGTTTTAATTAAATTTTCGTGGGAAATGTAAATTTTACAAACAATTGTTGTCAAAGTCAATGCAAATTTTAAAGAAAATCACTGCGAAAAATATAAGAAAAATGAGAAAGCACGCTCGGCTACTCGCGTAGCTCGCCCAGAGGCAAGATGAGACTTCAATTTCATTTTCTTTAGAAGCGGGTACAGCGTATTCCGGATACGACGCAGCGCTGTACAGCGCTGCGACAATATACGTAGCTCAGCAGAGCGCAAACAGCAATTCGACTAACTTGAAGACCGGAGGTTGGCAGGGCTACGGGCGCAAAGGTTTTGGCTCGGGCGGCGCGGGTGGCGGCGGAGGCGGCGGAATGAAAGCGATGCGACCCAAACAGCCGCCCAAGCCCCAGCAGCTGCATTACTGCGACGTTTGCAAAATCAGCTGCGCCGGGCCGCAGACCTATCGCGAGCATCTTGAGGGTCAGAAGCACAAAAAAAAGGAAGCCTCCCTCAAGGTGCCGCAACAGCCGCCGGCGCGGGGTGCCGGCAACTCGTTGCGTTGTGAGCTGTGCGACGTTACCTGCACTGGCAATGACGCCTATGCAGCTCACATTCGTGGTGCCAAGCATCAAAAGGTCGTTAAGCTACACACAAAGCTGGGCAAGCCTATTCCTAGTGCTGATCCTACGGTGCTCAATCCAAAGCCAAGCGCCATCAAGGTTGGTGCTGCCGTCAAGAAGGGCGTAATCACGGCTGCACCAAAGATAAACTTTGTTGCTTGTAAGTATTTGTACTCGTAAAACTTTTTGGATACGTATTTTCCAAGTGCCTGCAATACATGCTGTATGTATTTGAGTAAATTTTCACGTACAACAAAATACTTCTTCAGCTGGAAACCTCGGAACAGTTAACACTGGCAATGATGTAAAAATTGAAGAAAGCGAAGATGCTGGTGAAGAACAGTCTGGCGAGGAAAAAGATATTCAGCCAGTTGGGCAAGAATACATCGAGGAAAACAAGTCAGATGATGGAAAAATCATCAGCTTCAACTGCAAGCTCTGCGAGTGCCGCTTTAACGATCCTAATGCGAAAGACATGCACATGAAGGGCAGAAGACACAGATTTGCATACAAAAAGAAAGTAAATCCTGATCTTGTAGTTGACATGAAGCCTAGTCTGAAGGTGCGATAAATCCTTATTATTTATTTACAATGGTGTCTTAAAAACTCATCAGGCAACTCATATTTGATTTTTTTGATTACAGCAACGCAAGATGTTGGAAGAGAAATTGAGACAGCAACAAATGCGTGAGGAGTACATGAGACGTCGAGATGAAATGTCACACATGGGTCCAATGGGTCCAATGATTGATGAGGAAATGATGTACTGGGAAGAGCGTCGTCGTTATGAGGAAGACGTCGAATACTATGAGTGGTACCGACGCTATGGTCGTGGTCCAGGTGCTCCTATGCCTAGGCCTTTCCCTGGACCGCCACCGATGATGTTCCCAGGTCCACCACAACGTCGACCGGATACATCCGACGACAAACACGTTATTGCACACCACTCGTCCATTTATCCTAAAGAGGAAGAACTCCAAGCTGTTCAAAAGATTGTTTCGCACACTGAGAAAGCTCTTAAGTTCGTTTCTGATGCGCTTGCTGAATCTGGTATTAATTTTAAATATTTTTTAAATATTTTTTTCAACTAACGCCGTAATCAACTGTTTTACTTAAAAATGAATATTTAATTTGATATAGCAGCTCCAGCAGCAACTGCAGCCAACTCTACGAGTGCCAATTCCAATGATGCTGCAAAGAAGGATGAAGCCAATAAAAAGTCTCTTCCAAAAGAAGATGGCAGAGATGGAAATTTATTCTCTTTCCAAAAAGAAAAGGAAGACTCGCGAGTTCTTCGTGGTGTCATGCGAGTTGGAAACCTGGCCAAGGGTCTTTTACTTTCTGGAGACAATCACGTGTGTCTCGTAGTTTTGTGTGCTGAAAAGCCAACTAGGTGATGAACTATTTTCATTCCAGTTAAATCCTTCTATAAGCATCTTTTAGTTAATGTCTGTATTTTTTTTTCTTCTAGAACTCTACTGAACAAAGTCGCTGAAATATTGCCAGCTCAATTGAAAATCGTAGCTCCGGAAGAGGCTTACAATGTCGGCAAACATCCCGAGTCAGCTGCTCTCACAGTGTCAGGTGGAACGGTGACCGTCAGTGTAACTTTGACAAGTCCTCTGATGCGTGATGCCATGAAAACACCTGCTGCAGGAGGTAATTCAATTGTTTCTTATATTTGCGCCGGCCAAGAAAAGGATAACCGAATCGAGTATATTTAAAAGAACGTAGAACAGAAAAAAATAGAATAGTATAAAGGGTTTTCGTGTCCTTTTAATTTTAATAATATTTTACACATCTCTTGGTAATATTGAATTTAGTTTGTTCTTTTCATGGCCTGGAATAGGTTTTGAGTAATATTCTTTTCCTAAAGTATCAGGTAAGAGTTGCTGGTCTTTCACAGTTCCAAGGACTTCGCGCCCGAGGTTGCCAGTGTGTGTACACATGGAACGCTCTATAATCTAAATTTAAATCGTAACGTGACGGCATTTGTTTGTTTTGTAGAGCGTGAGAGTAGAGCTCGTGCATGTCTCACAAACTAACAGATGCAGTTATGTTTGCGAAAAATTTGTTAAAAATTTTTTTTTTCTTCATTAAACGAAGGAAGAACAAAAATAACCTGATCCTATAAGACAATGTTAAACGGGAAAGAGAGAGCGTAAGACAGTAAAGGTTTTTTCGTTCGTTATTAATTTAATTAAGAAGGAAACTTGAGGATAAAACATATACTTTTGCTCTTAGAGTGTGAATAGAGAAAGATTTCTCATCCATGATGATTTCGAGTTCTCAATTCAAGTAAACAGTGGTTAGCTAGAGTCTCCTTCAAAGAAGAGTTTTTCTGAGATATCACTTTTGTTCAAACGTAAACATGCTTTCGATATCTGGAAATTAACGCTGAGGCAATCTGAAAACTATGGACTTTTTGATCATGCATACCGCCAAGTGATTCCACCCTCTATCACTCGAGTATTTTATACATATATTTATATCTCGTACACATAAATATATATATATACATTACACGTCATTGTGGCTTGGCACGATGCTTACCGTTTTTTTTCGATAACCTGATTAGGTTCTCGACAATTAAGTACCGTGTAGGCTTATGAATTGCAACAACTTTAAAAAAAATTTTTGTACTAGTTTTTTTTTCTTCAAATTGTTGCAAATAATTACGCGTTATTGACCACATCAATTGTAGAAGGAACCATCATTTCCGTAAAGCTCTTGTGCTAGTTATACGGAAATGAACACAAACCGAAAAAAACGTTCTTGCATCGTAGCTCCTTTCAAGATCTTAGTTTGTTTCTTTATTTTGTTTTGTTTTGCGAGACCAACAACGCAGACTTTGTTAGAACACGTAGCAAAACTAAATTCAATAGATCAATTTATGTGTAAAAGTTTTTTACTAATAAAATCAACAAACATAACTAAAAACTTTGTGTGAATGGAATTTGAATTTGTAAAGGATCAAACAAAACAAAAGTAGAGTCCAATAGAGGGGAATACTGCTGTTGTTAAACCCAAGCTGGGCATGATCAAACACTCTAAGTGTTGTCTAAGCGTGTTGTGCTTTCTTTGTTGGAACCTCAGATAATGCTGGGCAGCAGCAACAGGGAGCTGCGCAACAACAAACGACGCCCGTGACGCCGGCCGCGACGAAACCAGACCCACCGGATGTACTTCCCAAGGCTAAATGTTTGGAGGCTTTGGCCGCGCTCAGGCATGCCAAGTGGTTTCAGGTTTGAATTCAACACCACCATTCAGAAAGACAGTTAAATTAGACGAAACTTAATAATTCGTTAAAAAAAAAAAAAAAAAAAAAGTTAATGATCCGCGTTTAAAAGAGAAAAAACGGGTGTAAGTTGTCCTCTCTCTCTCTGTCCGCAATTAATAGAGCTCTACTCGCTATCAACGTAAGAGCAATAAAGCTCTTTGTAAACAAGACAGTAAACTAGCAGTTTTAGCGATTACCAGCCTTGTGGTCCATAGCTTTTTTTTTTTTTACAAACATGGTCTACTGCAGCATTAATGTATTTTTTACTCTTACTGTATAATATCAGTGTCAGCGTCTGAACATAGAGTAAATGACAAAAACGCTCGCAGTCTCGCTTGAGCGTGCACTCGGTGTCTTGATTGTGCTTTGGCACGTTATTATCGTACATCAGTTGGTTACCAATACTAACGTATAAGTAGCTTCAAATGAACGTAGCAGCGCTATAAAGTGCATTTGTCAAATAGATAGTTCCGAGAGAGCGATCAAAGCGAGATTCGATAGTAGTAAGCAACTTTCAAGCAAATACAGTTTCTTACATGTTCAGATAATATTGATAAAAGACTGTACCTGCCTGAGGATTCGTTTTGCCCTTTTTCGTAACTTTTAATAAAAATCCCCTACGACATCCAGAATAATAGCAATCGGAATCGACAGCTTTGTTTTTGTTTTACATCAAAGTTGGCCTAACTTTTTTTAATTTTGTACCATCTCTTATTTTTCAAGTTACGAATTTAATTTTTATTTCGCTTAAATACCTCGACCAATGTGTTTCATTGATTATTCTGGGTTATAATGCGCCGTGTAGCCTAGACTGCGTCTGTTCTAGGTCTGTCTTGAAAAAACATTTTGAAATGAAAACAAACATTAACTATTCGCTAGAAATAATAACAGATATCATTTTTCAACGATGTTTTAATTACAAAAGTTTTGCACTCGTCTTATTTTATTTTTGAACTTACTTGGAAGTAATGTAAAATGCAGTTAATGTAATACTCGTATCGCATTTATTCTTGAATTCAATACTTCCTTAGAGTTTCAACGAGCACTTGAAGTTTTAATTAACATAAAAAGAAGAGACAGACAAGCACAAGCACACAGTGGTGTCGATACGTGTACCGGGTGTTTCTTTTGCAAATACCTGATACTGTAAATATTCGTTCATCTTAACGTTCTCATTTTTCCAACAGTAGAGTTTCTGTTTCAATGTATACGTTTGTATTTTATTTTTGCCAGTCAATAGAAACAATAGCAAAAAGAAAATTAATACGACACGATAAACACCCGGTAATATTGATATAGGCTAAATATCATTATTAATGTTAACATGCTCTGAGAGGTAGGCACGAGGCTGGATGATTCCATAGCTAAAGACTGCATAGAACATTTTGAGACTATAGAATAGGATTTAATTAATGAGCCTCATCAGTTATTTGATATTAAACTCAATCCAACAGGCTAGAGCGACATCATTGCAGAGCTGCGTTATGGTCATTCGTATTATGCGCGATTTGTGCAATCGCGTACCAACTTGGAGTTCATTGAATCCATGGGTATGAGTTTTTTCTATGTACTTGAATGATGATTTTTCGCTCCAACAAATTTTTTGAATCTCAAACATGTATTTTTTCTATTTATTCGACACAGGCATTAGAGTTACTGACTGAAAAGGTATTAAGCACAGCTGGTGGTCCACTCAGTCCAGGTGCCGCTTTAAGACGACTCTTGGAATGTATTGCGGGTGGAATTTTACTCCCTGGAAGTCCAGGTTTGTTGAGAAATTATGTTTGACTTTAAAACAATTTTTATTTTTTGAAATATGAAAACTATTCTATTTAAATGATGATAATAGATGACGAGACTGAGAATAGTGCAGAGTTGCTTGTTGGTCTTGAAAACAAGTTTTTTGGATTCTCGATCTTCAAGTGACATTCCTGTACTAATTCGCAGATGAATGGCAATCTGATACCAAATATAACACGCCCTCATGATGAATACTTCTGTTAGTGTGATGTGGTACATGATATTTTTTGCTTTTGTGTCCTACAGGACTAGCCGATCCATGCGAAAAGGATCCGGTTGATGCAATTGGCAACATGACGACTCAGCAACGAGAAGACATTACAGCCTCGGCACAGCATGACCTGCGATTAGTCGCTTTCCGTCAGATACATAAGGTCTTAGGCATGGAACAACTACCACCGCCCAAACACAAGGGTACATTTACGCGCAAGCGAAGACGCGACAACAGTAACGGAGAGGGCACGGACAGCGAAGCGTCAAAGAAAGACAAAAAGGCGGAAGAAACCAAGATGGAGACGGACTCCAAGTAGATTTAACCAAAACATTCAATTTTATTATTAAGTCGTAATTTATGAATGCAAGACAACGTTGTAAAACCTAAAAACAAGGTTTTCTCTCTCCCCAGTCCCTCCATGAATTATGAATCATTACTTCTGATGGTCTGTTCGTTTTCTCTTTTTCTATAAAGGAAAAGTTACGGAATTAAATAATTTAGATGACAATTGCGTACACTTCTTAATATACAACGCTGAATTGTATGCTTTTTTTGAAATTAGAAATTAAATTTTTCCGTAGATCGGAGGTCATTTTGAAAAAAGAAAATTAGTGATAACTTTTTTTTCAACGTAAACGAAAAGATCTCCTAGTTAGGCTATCGGGGTAGTGGTTAACTTGAAAAAAAAAAAAAAAACATGAGCTCTTTTGGAGGAAATAATGGTAGACTTGTTAGTCTGCATTAATTTAGCTGTGCGTCTTGAAATATTAAAAATGGTCACAAGTGTAGTATGCGAGAATGCTTATAAGTTTATAAACCAAAAATAAATTGTATGAAAACGAAATATATTGGAGATCAAGAATAATAATTCAATTGGTAATTTTCTCATAATGTAGCAATTATTTTATTTGAAAGTACCTTCAACTAATTGGGAATCAGGATCATTTAAAGCACCACATAATTAGTATTCATCAAATTAATTTCAAGCCATTAATAAGACCCTATTAAAGTTTATGTTGGGCTTGTTAATGTTAAAGAAAAACTCACCTAAAAAGTGTGATTTTTCTACTGTACGTTAACGTCTCTGAACAAGTGTATATCGTATATTAGAAGAAACTGACAAAATTGGAAGTAGACAAATAATCGACAGTTCTTGTCAATTTCAAAAGCAAGGTTGTAGCGTTTACATCATGCAAACTAAAGGCAACGAACTACAAAAAAAATTGCACTTACCACTCATGAAATCTTGTTGTTAATTGATTTCAAATCTGTTCAATTAAATGTCTAACAGAGTAGTGGTGTACTTTAGTAAAGCGTTTCAATGTTATCCATTCAATTCAATTTGAGTTTATTTTTCCCATCTTTTTTATTAAACTGTTAAAAATTATTATTTCTACTTCTTTTTTACGAAAAAGTTTTTTCTTAGTGACCGTACATAAATTTCTATAAATCCGTGTATGTTCCTAATTCAATATCTGCATTGCGTTAATATGCAACTTTTATACAATATGTCTAGTATCATTGTGCTATTTTGTATACGAAAGTAATCCTTTTCTTATAAAGAGTACAATTTTCTAAAGATGTGTATTGGTATGTATGCAATTTAGTCATGGTTTTTTTGCAACTTGAGTGCAATGATCAATTTTTTATTCAAAAAAACAAGCGATGTGGAGTACTTAAAAATAAGGTTTATTTAAGTATCGTTAAAAATTAAAAATTTTTGTTAAGCTATTGATTCATTAATGTATTTGTCATTTTGCTGTAATAAATAGAGGCTTACGAGTGAACATAAGTCTTTAATTACTTTAGTTTTAATACGCATACCCGGTCATGAAAAAGGAGAGTCAGAAATAAAGGAATTAGAGATTTTAAATAAGTTTATTGATAAAAACTCACATGTCTATCTTATAATTAGTAAATATACGTTTTTTTGTACAGCGCGTAAAAGCAACTGAAATATTTTATACTTAGAAAAACTACTTACCTTTTATCATCTCTCGATTTTTAGCCCGAGAAACAATCATCTGTAACACCGTTAGTAGATTCATCATTTTTATTCAAAGTAATATAATCATCATTGATAAATAGTAAATATATTTTGCTAACTAAAATATTTTTAAAATATTAGATTCTTAACGACTTTTTGTCTACAAGGATATTAATATACATATTAAAATTTCATTACTATTCACGGTACACTAAGTATTCATTTGTTATAAATTAAATTTTTTTTGGTTCCTTATTAATATTTTATAACTTTTTAAATTTTATATACATTTTTTTATTTTTAATCATATAATTTCTTCATAGTTTAATACTTAACGTAGTTGGGAAATGAATTGTTCTAGGGATAAAATTTGTTCATATCTATTAAGAGGTTTTCAAACTTCTCTAGGTGTCATGTTAAGTTAAAAGAAATTAGGTATTGATTAGTCTATCAAATTTAATAAGCCTATTAGAATGAGTTTAAATTACGTAGCTAACCAATACTTTATCACCACAGAATTGTCTTCACACTCTATATACTCAGTCATTATTTCCTTCTCACTGTCATCAGTCTCTTCTCTAACAAGGGTATCAGAATCTGAATCTAGTCCTATGAATGATAAGTCATCAATTGGTTCAAATTCAGATTCATCAGATTCCAAAATATCATTTTCACTATATTTTCTTTTTCTTTCTTTATAACTGGTATATTCATCTGATGATGCTGACGTGTTACCAACCATATTTTCATCCATTAAATCTTCTTCCTCGTCATCTTCATGAATCTTGTTATCAAGAATTAGACTACCTATTCCAGATTCTTCCTCTACTTCTTCCGATATATTTTCTACTAAAGGGGTGTCACTTATAACATTATCAGTTACTTTTTTACTGATATCTTCTACCAATTCTGTTTCATTGACTATAAAACTTTCAGTTTCTGGGATTCTTTCCATTGTAATATTACCCTGAGTATTTAATGGTAATGTTATTTCATTGTCTTTTTCAACTACAGAAACATTAGAAATCACTTCTTCATTAACGACTTTTGGAAAGTTTTCTACACTTTTACTGAGCATGGTTTCTTCAATAACCAAATTACATAAGTTGGTATTTGTTTGTGGATGATTGACTTGTTCCTGCTTGTTACAGAATACATATTCTTTTAGCGTGCCCAAGTTTGGAGAGGTATTTTCTTTAACTGCATCTTTATGAAAAACAATATGTCTGTCTAAATCAATACTACACACAGTTTCTTCAATTACTTCTAGTTGTTGAATTTGCTGTTCTTTTTTATTATCGGAACAACCTTTATGTTGTGTAGAAAAATCGTTAGGGATCATTGAAATACTTTGTAGTAAACTTACGTCTTCATTACATTCAGATGTTACTATTTTATTGTTTGATTGTGTTGAAACGTTACTATATTCTACAACTACAGGACTACCTTTTTCTTTATTATTTTCCCTTGTTATCCCATACATAGCCATTTCATTGAAAGTAACTGCTTGAAGAAGGTTTAATCCATTTATTTTACCATTAATACCATTGAATCTCTTTTTAACTTCAGTATTTATAGACTCATAATTTAATAACTCTAAGCTCTGCGAAGATTTATCATTTGGATCATTACTGCTCATGTTGGTTAATTCTTTGGGCAGTGTGAGTCTTACGGTTTTTACGTTGTTGATTAAATTACTGATCGGCGGAGAATTTTGGTAAATGTGATCCGAAATAATTTTAACAGATGATAAATTTGTATGTTTATTTGAATTGAAGGAATCAACGATGCTCTGAAGTGATAACTGTTGTGAATTGGATTTTTCAATAATATTACAAAACTTTTTGCGTTTTGGTTTGTTTAGATTAATAGAACTTATTTTTAAAGACAACACTTTGATACAATAATCTATATCATCCTTTTGCATCATTATTTCTTCGTGATCTTTTTCCATAAAATCTTCAGGCCCATTAATCATATACTTCACACTATTAAGTTGTCTTTCCAATTTCAAATTAGACAAATCTATATTAACATTATGCAGAATATTTTTAATGTCTTCTGTTTTTAATTCTGAGTTAAGTTTTACCAAGCGTACTATCGATTCCTGTATCTTGCCACAACACTTGTTTACGTGCTTTGCATGGACATATCTTTTGATACTTTTAGCTTGTTCTATCCATTTACTCACCATTGTTCTCGTCAGAGGTAAATTTTGAGTTATTTCTTCGATACTCAATTTAGGACCTTTCATTTCTAAACATAAATAAAGTATTTGTTCCCTTAGCAGCGAAATTTTATATTTCATCTTCTTATGATTGCTTTCTTCTTTTATTTTGCCTTCTGAATCAAACAGTTTGTCCAAGTTGTCAGAAACTGTTGCTATTTTGTTCATTAGATCAGTCTTGTACTTTGTTAATTTGTCTACTTTATCGTAAAGTGAATAATCATTTTCATCATATGATAAATCTGGATGCGACACGTAATTATGATCTAGATAAATTGATTTTGTAACCTGTGCATGAGGATGCTCTTTACCACCACCATCTTCCTTATCTCTTTCCAATTTCATTTTCTGATTCATCCTGATAACTGATTTTGCTTGCACTTTAGTTACTTTAGCCAGTTTTTTTAATATTTGCTCTTCGCTCGCAGATTTGAACATAGGATCGGTCAATATGTGTTTGAGAGATTTTAAAATGTGTCCCAACTCACTGTTGCTCAAGACTATCCCGACTTTTTTCAATAATATTCTCAACTGTGACAGAGTAATGTTGGGATTCTTCTTGTAAATGCAGAGAATAGCCGATTGCCTCTGACCCACATAACCATGCAAACCAGTTTTTTCATATCTGTTTATCCACTTTTCAATATACTTCTGTGGCAACTGCATTTTCTTAGCCACATCTTCAAAAGTCATCTTTGGACTTTTCCCATAGTAGAGGCTGATGGCTTTGCGTCTCAGCTGGGCCCGAAGGCGACTAGCTGTGTCCTTTTGGTACAGAGCTGTGGATTAGAAAAAGAAATACCTCATAAACATTCAACAATTTTGAGTACAACTTGAGCCGTACGCGAGTAACTCGCTGTAGAGAGAGAGAGAGAGCGCCCGTACAAGCGTACGTACCTGTGGACATTTTGCGGAATAATGTTCACTTGACTAACATTTTAAAGAGAAACAACATTTCACAATAAGTTAGTTAAGAACGGGGGAAGGGTCAAGGGGGGGAGAGAAAAAAAAAAAGCACTGCGTGGCCATCACATATTGCCAAAATTATAATTCAGACGCGGTGGTATACAACCAAGGGCAATGATAGCACGGACACTATTTAACAGTAAAAAGAGTAGATTATTAGTTATCAGACCTAGACAACGGTCGAATTGTTCTTTTAATCGTATATAATTTGATGCGTTCAGGTCTCGGGACTTCAAGTTTGTCTTCCAGACTGAAACTCAAGCCCGTTGTACAATAGCGAGCACCGAGCGTGGCGATGTATATAGCCACTCGATTCCTATGGGTCGACGAAACGGAGTTCTTCCTTTAAACGCGTTTCCCATTGGCCAGAGAGTTTTGACGGCGTCGTTCACAACTTTACTCACCACGCTTTTCATGTAAATAACATAACTACGCAGCTTGTATAAACACACACACACATATATATACATATCCATACGTGTACAAATGCAAAGGCGTGGTATAGGTTGTGCTTTCTGATGCGTTTTGGCTCTTTCGACGTTTGTTTATTTTTAAGAGTGAGGCAGGGCCTTCAAACTTCGTGTTTCAAACTACAACGGTATAAGTTGATCCCTGCACAGAATACCTACACATTGGCCTATATGTTGACAGTTCGTTGACTTTTGGAGCGGAAGGGAGGGAGGATGTGTGTTTTTGAGATGAAAACATGAAAATCATCTGGAAAACTTTCTAGCAGTACTTACCCCAGCTGGATCAGATGAAAATAAGTCGAGTTGACGAAAATACATGAAACTGTGATATAAATATATAGCTATCATAGCTCCTCACACGAACGATGCTGTACGAATTTAGCGATCCCTTTTGGTTTTTAATTTAGGTTTTTTAAATATATATTTTAACATTTGGATTGCTGAATGTATTAGAGTATTTTTTAAAACGTTGGAGAAATGTTGGGTACCAAACATTAAGGGATTCATTTCATTTTTATCATAATTTGTTTCTTTCAAAATATACATTCGATCTTCACAAATAAATTAATAAGTAACGTTAGCCACGCTCGATAGCGTTATTGTGTACATGTATATAAATATGCGTACTTGTTTATCGAAATAACTTTTGAAAATTTTCCACTCCGATCATTAATAAGAAGCTATTTTTACAACTATCCTCGTTTAAGAGTTTTGAAGTCGTGTATGTATATGTACCCAATAAAAACTCAAAAATATATTTTTTTAAAAAGGTTTTTATGAATTGCATGAAAAATATAAAAAATATAATTCCTTCCATTGTTGAAACGAAAACTTAAAAAAAAAAAAAAAAAAAGAAACTACTTCATTATATTTTATATAAACAATAAGTTCGTTGTAAAGCGATTATTCTATTAGTAAACGTACAATGAAATCGATGGTAAATATTAAAAAAGTTTAGATTTTGTGATTAGTCACGTTGATACAAATTGTTGATTAATAAGTACGTGTGCGCGTATCTTAAACCTACGTTTATAGTTACGTTGTATGTTACATTCTTACAGCCTGAGCGTCGCTTACCACTTCTACTTATCGATTGCATCAGCTTGTAGAATCGATATATTTATATTTAGACTGATGTGCCTGTATGTAAATTATTGACTTATTTGTTTAATTAAAAGTTTTAAACAACATAATCTGAATAAGGGTGTTTTTAGACGTAATTATAATCAAGTAATCTCAATGGGTTTATTGACAGTTAACAATATTTTAAATTTTTAATCAATTTTATATTTGTTATTTCACTACATTACACTATAAACACAGCAAAATATATGTATATATTTCGTAGAAGCGATGTGGCGTTACTACAAAAGTTGACTACCTTACTGTTTCTCTAGTAATTTTCCATTTGCAAAACGAATGTTCAATTTTTCGTTTTACCACGGTTCGACCCCATTCGAAAAAAAAAAAAAAAAAAAATCAATTCATCTGCTGCGATTGGAGAATTGCACGATTGCGGTCTTTAGAACGAACAAACATGTTTGTTGCTTGTAATTGAATTTGGCGTTATTCAATTTGCGTTACAAGATAACGGAAACCTCAAAATGGTTGAAAAAGAAACCAGTTCGACGAATGAGTCGGCATAAATGCACAATATATTTATACTTCTTGCTTTCCCCTTTAACGGTCTTTTTTTTTCGTGTCTTAAAATTGACAGCGATTGAGAAACAAGTTGAAACAATGATAAATTTCAAAACAAAGGCTTTTCTCTCGTCAGCTTATAAATAAAGGCTCGTCGAGTGTGCGCGTGGGTTGGTTTTTTCTCAAGGATGTTGTCTGTATGTTGGTTCTGCTGTTTGGCGTTTGACAAAAAAAAATCACCGATTCCAATGTTCATCCAATTTTTAATATTACAGTCCTAAAAATCAATTATTCGTAAACAAGTATATCGATACATCACATAAATTGAATGATCACTGCTTCTTTTAAATTCTCAGTTGATAGTCATTCTCTTGCAAGTACCTACTCGCTTTTCGCTGCCAGAAAATATTAAGAACAAAGTAATTACATGCACGGGTGCGGGGAGAGAGCAAGAGCGAGTTAAAAATTACAATAACTGAATGACTTGAGACGAATTTTCCAAAACTTTTTCATTTTTGATTGGCAATAGTCAGCCTCTTCCACAAACTTTATTTTTCTCCTTCTACTATAGGCATTGGCAGTCAAATAAAAAAACCTCAATCTCAAATTTAAACACAGTTATAGGCAGATTTAACCATTTTCTGAATTTTCTTTCGATATTTTCCGATCATTCTAGAACACCGTGTTGTTCGGGCTTGATCGTCTCCCCCCTCGTTCTTATCCCCTTCCCAAGCGTCATAAATATGAATCACGAATATTGTGATCGTTTCCTGCCATTCTGATGACTTTATTTTATTTACACTTGTACTAGCAAAACAGGGACGGAAAGCTGACGGAGCTACACGTCGTCATCAGCAGACAAGATACTCGACCAATGGGAATTGGCGACGTACACGCAGACGCAAGCCTATATATAAGCAAGGTGACGACTGTTCCTCGAACAGATAGCGTTGTGTTTTTGAAGAGTGAACTTCGAGAGCCTTTCAATTCAACTGCGATTCTTTATTACGAGGAGGTTGTAGCTGACGCATATTGTACTTCGATAGACTAAGGTGAGGTTCTTTTTTTTTTCTTTGTAACTCGATAATGATTATTTTATTTTATTATTTTGGTTATGCAACTGAAAATTTGGTTTCGTTTTGTTGCGTGATGTTGTAACTCCGTGCTCGAGGAGCATCGGACGAGATGTCCTCTTGTCGAGCCTTAAAGTAGGTCCATGAGAACTTAATTATTTCGCAGTTGCGGGATGTGTAAATGATTTTGAAGTTCATCATGTGAATTTTCCGTGACAACAGCTGATTTTCTTTGTTCCGTTGCTGGGCAGTGCGCGATCGATATTTGTGACGCAGTACGTCTCGCGGTTGAGTCAGCCCCTATTTTTCTTGAAAGAATTGAGTAGCCCCACTTTGTAGTCAATATTTTTTTAAATTTCAAGTAAATACTACGGTACACAATATTTTCAAAAAGCAAGGAGTTCACACGAACTTTTATACTTTTTTAAAGAAATATTAACGAGCATACTTGAAAGGTTAAACCAATAATTGGCCTAATTAGTAAATATACCTTCGTTTTATTCAAGCATTAAGGGAGTGTTACGATTTTAGTAAGCTACGAGGCGTAGATTGTTTTCCGAAATTTGCTTTGTTGACCTGTGAAAGTTTTTGCTCGTAGCAGTTTGTCCGCCATTTTGTATAGGCAGTGAACGGGACAACTGCGCTCGGTATTGATTACATTGCTGCAAACTCAGCCTTGGATTTTGATATTGATTGACTCGCATGAATATTTGAAAAAAATTTTTTACTTAACTAACGCGTATTGTAAATTTTGAGTTAAACTATTTTTTTTTTGTTTCTCATTGTATGAAAATTTGATATTGTGTTAACAATATGAAATCGTTTTCAGGCAAACATGCAGATCTTTGTCAAGACCCTCACTGGAAAGACGATCACCTTAGAGGTGGAAGCTTCTGACACGATTGAAAATGTCAAAGCAAAAATCCAAGACAAAGAGGGTATCCCTCCAGATCAGCAACGTTTGATTTTCGCTGGCAAGCAGCTCGAAGATGGCCGTACACTGTCCGACTATAACATTCAGAAGGAGTCCACCCTTCATTTGGTCTTGCGTCTCCGAGGAGGCATGCAGATCTTTGTCAAGACTCTCACTGGAAAGACGATCACCTTAGAGGTGGAAGCTTCCGATACAATTGAAAACGTCAAGGCTAAAATTCAAGACAAAGAAGGTATCCCTCCAGACCAACAACGACTGATTTTTGCTGGCAAGCAGCTCGAAGATGGTCGCACACTTTCAGACTACAATATTCAAAAAGAGTCCACACTTCATTTAGTTTTACGACTTCGAGGTGGTCAATTCTAATTCCGGTTTAAGCATTGATCTCTTATTAATAAGTCAAAATTTTATTTGTAAGTTCTCGGAATAAAAATGAATAAATCTTTTTTGTTAACGAATGTAAATCATGCCCTGTTTATTTCATATCCCATCATCTATCGATTTATCAGTATTAATAAACAGTTAATCAAAAATTAATTCGTAGTTCAGCAACGTATAGCAAGGAATATTATTTTTTGATAGCATTTTTCTACATTGTAAACTTAAAAATATAAAATTTTCTTCAATTTCTTATAAAAATAAAGCTTATGTTACAAAAGCATTGAAAATTTCGACGTTTTTAAAGCAACAAATGTAATACTCTTTAAATTTGTGTTGCAAACAAACTCAAGTACAAATTTAAGTTTTATAGCATGAAAAGAAAAATCTATGTATTTTGAAAAACGAATCCAGATAATACATGGAGTCTGGTTTATACAGATAAAATTGCCAATAAATAGTTGATTTGATTATTTTGTAGGAAACTATGTCTTTGACTGTCGCGTAAGAGAAGCTTATAGGTAATTTGTCAAGTTGGATTAACTTTTTTTTCTAATTATTTAAGCTTATTATATGAGCTAGTACTTATGCGTAAACATCAAGGGTGTATTCCGCAATCGTCACCAGCAAGTATAATTTTGGGTTGTGCTGGCCATAGTTAAAACAGCAATAATATCCTCACATTTTTTCCATAAGGTTTTTTTGCATCGTACGTGATCATAGGCAATTTATCGAATCATCGGTGTGGCCTTGGCTAATTTTGTATGTATTTCAATCAACGCCATCTAGTGTGCGATTTTTCTCGTTCGTCGCTCCTAAACCCCACTGACGTTTTTTGTTTCATATGGCGAAGAAAAGCACAACTCAGATTTTGCCCTTTAAAATGACATAGAACTATTAGTTCAGCTTTTCATCGTCCACCGACAAAAATTGGCTATAGTCGACGACTCGGACACCCTACGGACGTTTTTTTGCTTTGACATCATAGAGATAATATAAATTATCTCTATATGTTTGACATACAATTCAATTATATATATATACTTGAATTTTATCGACTGGATCGAAATTGGATGTTATCGACTGAGACACACACCTACAGCAGCTATTGACTGCGGGTATTATCTTATGATGATATGCTTTAAGGGTATCATCATAAAGTCATACGTGATGGCGCCACCCTCACTTTTTAGTAGGCAAATTTCATAAAAGCTTCATTCTTAATGAAGTCAACTGCATAATAAATAAAAAATTCCTTTATCAAATCATCAATTAAGAGCAAGTAAAAATAAAATCATCAGATGATTGCGTGCGGTACAAAAGTCTCGTTCGATCTGCACAGCACAAATTAAAGCACAACTTCAAATACATCTAAAGCTGATTCTCACGTAAATCTGACAGTCGAGCCAAGTGGCGCCGATTATAAATTCCGGCCACTATCAGAGAGACAGGAGACGGACATATATGCGTATACGCATCAATAAGTCAAACGCCCGCAGTCATCGAAATCAGGTATACCTACAATGTGTTTTGTGCAACATAAATTGGTTCATATGTACTGATTGACGTAAGTGCACGCCGATCCGTTTTATAAATTAGCGTCATTAAGGCCCGACTGGTCCATTTAATACAAACAATGCCCCCATCATCCAGCAGACGGAGATGGATACTCTCAAAGTACTTTTCGATCATATACATACGTCACAAATGCACATTACATACACACATAGTGTGCTCTCGCGAGCTCATTCGTCCTCGATAAGTATCACGCGCGAGAGTTTTTCCGCTTTCTCTCTTCTTCGATAATCGCTATAACTAACGATTTAGCACCAATGCCAGCAATTGTTTGATTGTTTTCGCTCTCGAACTCGCTCCTCGCGGCTCTTGTCGACTTGTCGATGATTACACGCTGTAAGACCGTGCACGTATAGTATCATCCATCCGTTGTTCTTGTGGTTTTAACACCATTTCGCAAAGCACTAGCTTTTTTCGCGCTCCTTACACCTATGATTAATGTTGTTAGTTATTTTGTTTGTTTTTATATGGTATCGTAGAAATGTGTACGTTCACATCCTCTTGACAATTCATCGTGAGCATGTGACAAATGTATCGTGAAAAAGATTGAAAAAAGGGGGCAACAGTGATTCCCCGGACGGAGCTTTTTCCGGACGCGTCGCTTCGCCATTATTCGCGATTTGGCGAATATCCCGCCCGAAGCTTTGCGCTACAGTGTACATACAGCACATCGCTACGAGCATCGAAGGGGGAGAGGCTCGTTTGCTCTAAATTCACATCTGTCCTGTCATCGACTGTATTGCATTATATACCTGATGCGTGCATATGACAAGGACTACTATATGCGACGGGATTGCCCTGCAGGTTTACATGTAATAATTGTGTGTGCGTACTCTGCCCGCTCGAACCGCGACTTTTTTATTTTTCGCCGTTTACGATATTGTAATTACAATCACGTGCATTTGAATTGCTAATTTTAATGCTCATTACATTGTTTCAGATGGTCTCGGATCACCATCACCTAATCATGAGTGACTTTAAATCACGTGATTATTGGAGTATACACGAACAACAGTTGCTCGAAAGAATTTAGCCATCATCTCCTCGAGGCAACCTTTTTTTGTCTCCCTGCATTGATTGCACAGTATAATCAATAATCATTTTTGTTCTTCTCGATTTTTATGGTAAACATTACTCCATGAAAAATAGGAGCCGACACCTTCACCGACGTTGATGGAAAAAGAAAAAAATATCGTAGAGGTACCCGAAAAAAACAAAAAAAAAAAAAAACCCAATGGTGAAATTCGGGGGTAATGGAACTTGGTTGGCTACCAGAACCACTCTGCCACTTCAATCATCATATGGTTTTTCTCCTTGCTCGTTGTATATATTCTACTTATACTAAAAGAAAACAATGGAACCCTTCTATACATATATTCTAACAATTTATACACACGTATTAAATGCAAGTGTAAAAAAAAGGGACGAAAGGGAAAACTTAAGTTTTCTGTTATGCGTTGGAGGGCTTATCAACAGCGTGCACTCGCCGGCTTCGTCGAGGATCCGGAAATACGGTCGCGAGAGAAAGTTGGAAGCAACTATTTTTCACCACACGGAAATGAAACTTTTGTTACTTTTAGAATCCTCACATTTTTTTTGCACAACTAGCTCTCACGTGTCGCGTATAGGGCTTTTGAATTGTTTTCCTTGCTCCACGTGCCGACTCTTTGAACCTCTCACGATAAAAATTTTATTCGTGGTAGGAGGGCTCGCATATGTACTTTAACGTACATAAAAGTTTATTCAACTGTACTGTGATTTTGACATGAAAATCTCGCCTTTTCCATTAAAAATATCATTCTCCCTTTGGATGTATTGACAACTCCACGGTAAAAAAAAAAAAAAAAAAAAATCCTTACGAATCCCATTGAGCTGAGAGAAGAAGGAAGAGTTTGCCGGTACACTCGATGAAACCAAATAGAGGACTGATGAAAAAAAAAAAATTGGCACTCGGAAAGGAAAGATATCGCGACCGCAAAGCCCGTATCCTTCCTCGGGTGCACGAGCCCGTCGACCGGTATACCGATCGACGAAAACGAAAACACGTCGACGGCTGTCGCGAGGAAGACTATCTACGTATGCAGAGAGTAAGTAGGCGAGAAAAGAGAGTATACCAAGTAAGTGGTAAGTGGTGAGTACCTATACATATAATGGGTATGTATCTATTTACATGTGAGCGATAGCTGTACACCACCACCACCACACTGACACCCGCGGGGTCCTCTCCTCTGCTTGTATGCTCGCCTCTGGCTCTACATACACTCCTCGCGTAGTATACACACACACAGTGGTAGCGTAGGGCTCCTCTTTCGCTCTCTTGTAAATACTCTGCACGTTGGTATAGGTGTATATATACATGATAGACTTATCGGGTATTTATATATATATATACATATGTGTGTGTGTGTGTATACTTACTATATACACGGGGGGGCTCAGCCGCGAGCTCTCGGGGACCGCTCGAATGCTCGCTCGTTCCGAATCAGTCTTGCTCGCGACTGGCCGCCATACGCAGCGGTCCCCGCGATTTTGTCTGCACGCACGGCTACGATACACATATACCCACCGTCAACCGGCTTTTGGAGCACGCGCGATCGATCGGATGACAAAGCTCCGATTTGCCGGGGATATACGGTGCATGACTTTTAAGCCAAACGGATCGGCAAGAGATCGGTAACTTGCCGATTTTTTTTCTTCGCGATCTCTCGATTGCCGGAATTTTGGTCCCCAAAGCGTGAGAGACAAATTTGCCAACGCGCCAATACAAACATACAGCCGACGAAGCTAAGCTGTCTCGAGACCTGCCGTCTAAGCAAAAATAATAAAGCGCTCTCGCACGAAAATCGGTCTGACATGTGTACTTAACTTTTCCAGGAGTGTGCAGGAGTGAGCCCGACGAAAAAAAAAGAAGACGGATGAAGGAACATAAATGAAGAAAAGAATCGGCTAGCGACAATGAGCGCATATGCGGAAGGCGAGAGTAGCAATATAGATACTTGGCTACGTATAAATTGTTTGAGCTTGGAATTTGCGGGCGTACGGTGACGCGCCGCTGGTGCAACCATCATCCACGTGCTACAGGCCCAGTGGCCCGGTGTACATACGCACTTCACAGCAACCACAATATAACAACTGCAACATCATCCGCGACATATCTTTTGGATATTTTTTTTGTTTTTCGCAACACGTGCATATTCGATGGTTCAGTGACTCTCTCGGGCCAATGTAACTAGTGTATACCGTTTCCCCGGAGCGATAGACAGTGCTGGTATAGAAATGCGGCTGGGCTCCTCCTCTCCTTGATTACCGGCAAGGATAGCGTGCTGGGCTCGAGTCTGTACCTTTTTTTTTTTCTCTTTGCAATTAACGATGCGAGCGGCCTACGATATGAAGTCGCCGGACAGCCGACTCGCCACCTGGATCCTCGTCCTCGCCGGCCTCGTTGTTTTCGTCACTGGTGAGTAAACCTTCCTTTTTCCCTGAATAACATATCGCTCGCACAGCTTCTCGA